CTCAACAATTTTTATGTCGGGACCCACGAAAAAGCCAAAAAGTTAAGTAAGTCATGTAAAATTATAATATGTACATTGTACATAGCACGCTATTTTTAACGAATCTTTTGTAGCTATATGTAGCTTGTATTTATTATTTTTAACAGACTGCGACCCCTTTTTAAAAGAAACTTGACCCCTAAGGTCAGTCGCGACGACTCTGGAGAAACGATGATATTAACCATTATACGTTTCAGTTATAATAAATTAAATGTAGTAAAGTAATAAAATTAGAATGTTATAAACTAAATTAAAACATTACAAGCAAGCCTGTTACGGCTTCGCACGGCTAAACTACAATTTTGTAATATTTTGGAAATAAATATAATAAGCATGATGTGGCAACAATTGTGAAAAGGTGAAAGAAAATGGTGGTCCAATGGTTTTTACGTTAATTCGTAACAAACATACAAATGTTATCTCTATAATATCAGTATAGATAGATTTGTGTTGGAAATTATGAACTATATACAGCGATTTTAATTGTTTTTACTATATATATATAAAATGTGGTAATTGAGCAGACCCAGCACAGCATATGTTTCATTTTTAATTTCGCTTTAGGGTCTAAGGGGATGTAAATTTCTATGCCCATTAGTAGTTATTTCTATGTACGAAAAAAAATACTACCTGTATTTTTTTTCGTACATAGAAATAATTCATTAGTGCACAGTCAGGATTCTATTTCTATATCATAATATATTTTAATTATTGCTGCTATCATATTATATTATATATATATCATATCATCTTTTACCCCGCATTTTACCCATTATAATTAATTGAAGGAGGTGGTTGTGGTCATACAATAAAAGTAAGTATAGACTGGTTTAAAAGATCATGAAGATCTGACGATGCTAATATTTGTTACCATTTCACAGTTGATACACTAGTCCGGTCAATTTAGACATCCAAGGTTACAATAATTCGCACTTGGCTGAATATTGGTAGGATTGCTCAATACACTATTATAAAGGAAATGTGAAAAGTCCTCCCCTTAAACCTTACCCCTATTTTTTAGTCTAAGTTGACCGGATTACACATCATATCTTAAACATTAATCTAAGGCCACAGGGCGACGTAAAGATACACACAAATCAAAATAAAATGCGGAGGCATGTAGGCAATTTACAAAGCCAATGCTTTAAACGCAGAATATATATAGTTGTTTTTTAATTCACAAGCATTTCCTCATTGCGTGTATCCACTAACACGCATTGAATACTTCAATCCGATATAGAGGAATGACCGCAACCACGGTTGGAGTAATGCTGGCTGACAAGTCCATTGTGGTAAAAATTGGTGTGTACTGTAGGAACCCAACGCTAGTATTAGATATATCTTCTTAATATTTCGTTAACTATCAAGACATTAGTAATTTACACGTTGCTAAATTGTTGAAGTAATTACCGGTCAGTAATACTGCTACGCAGATTTTATATATGTTATGTGTATTTGGATATTTATTTAAATAAAAATATTTTTTTAATCAATGTTTGTTTTAGTGAACCATTTGAATTAGTGTTAGTGCATTGTTAAGTGCTCAACTTACAAATAGAACAAAGTGTTAACCCCTTAATATCACTGTAAGGGAAGGGACGAATAGTGTTTTTTTTTAAATATGTATTGTATATTTTTTATACATAAAAAAATAAAATAAAAATGTGTTTATTCATTTTAAGTAGATATGCAATGTGTAAGATTTGGGAACCCTTTTAAGTAAGAAATACCTGTGTCAGGGTTCCCAGCTCTTCCATAACAAACGTAAATATAATTCCTTAAAATATATTTATATATAATCTAATTACATCTTTTATTTAATTTACTTTTCAACTGTTATCAACACGCCTGAGTGCATGAGTGAGTGTGTAGGTGCAAATGTGTAAGTGAGTGAGTGAGTCAGTGAGTGAATGAAAAAAGTGTGTGTATACTAGGTCTCTGTTGAGTTAACATTTTCAAGATATATTGGTTCCCAGTCCATTTTCTAAGTTCTTTTCACCTTAAGAATCTTATTAGTGATCTAAGCCCTAAGTGTGGTTTGATCACTTCATCTAGCGCTAATGTTTCCGACGTAGGAAAAACTATAGAATGGCGCCTTGATTGCTCTTTAATGATTGAACTTTGTAAAGTACCGCTATTAGGAAGCCAGGTGAAATTGGTACGTCAATACGAGCTTTAAACAGACAGTAAAAGGGAGAAAGTTCAATTTCTTTTCCTGTTTCGTTGGAGTAAAATTATACCTCAAATTTCGCCGATAAGAAAATGCAGTAAAAGAGTTACGTAGTAGTGATTAACGGTGTGAAAAATTTGTCATCTTCCCGGTTACATTCTAATCTAAATAAAAAGTTCTTTATTAATTTAGCTATTATACATAAATAATCGAGGCCTCCTTAGTAAGTCAATGACCTGTGACAGGGAAATAATATCTACGATTAAACGTCTACGTTTTTTCTTTAAACAAGACAAAATATCACACGTAGCGGTGAGGCGCGCAAGTCGTACTCCTGTCTTCCGGATATTTGGATTGCAATTTTTTATCGGTAAGAGCTAAAAATATCTCATCTAAGTCGTCGAACTTTGCGTGAAAATGAAATTGGCGTGAATCAGGTCCAGAACACTTGCTTACCTAAAAAGGTTTTCCTTCAATCGTATCAAGGAAACAATACGATCGGACGAACTTTCAATTAATTAAAGGTTGTGGCGGAAACTCAGGATGTAATAGATAAGAAGGTAGTTTAAACAAATTCAATATAGTGTCATCGTATTTATTGAAAAACAAAGAAATGTCAAAACTGCATGCAATATCTAACATGCATTTTAATCACCTTTAACATACATAATAAAAATTAAACTGACCATAATTCGAAATACTTTTATCTAATTTTATCACAGTATTTGATTTTTCGTTCGTTCGTTGATTGCGTAAGAAAATTAGACAAATATTTTCATTAAATGCATCTATGAAGACATGTTTAAGGAATAAATGCGTGAAAAAAAATCTTTACTATTTCAGATTAGCTAATAAATAATTTTGCTTCTCGATTTGATATCATATAGAAAATGGTCTAATTGATACATTTTATTCAATTCATTAAATAGCAAATGGATTATACAATTGGTATAATAAAAACTATAAAACGATATTATAAGTCGCGTCGCTAAAAAACGAATCCAATCATGTCTTGTGCCGTCATTTTAGATTCGTCCTTAACGCGTCATTATTTATCTACTGTAATTAAAGCATGCACGAACCGGTTTTATACATTTTATACACTTACACTAATATTTACATTCAGTCGCATTTAGGAACATAATATATTACAAAAAGCTACTATATTTCAAAGTCAGTGAATAACGCTTAGAAGGCTGTTACTATATCAGAAAATAGCTCTGAGCACTATGCCGTCTCCTTTGATAGATAGTTTCGTTCGTAGATTCTAATTCTGGCGTTAGAGTTGTAACGCTGTTTTCCGCGCAAAATCAATGAAAATTTGTTTAACCATGAAATCTTAAATTCACAAAGTTATGACTTTGACTATGAGAGATTATACTATACTTTAACTGTGTTTTTTAAATTAATCGAAATTATCGGTAATCGGGATTTTTTTATATAACCGCCGCCCATAGACAATCACATTACCATACGCCTGCAAGTGCGTTTCCGGCCTATAATCCAACAACAACATATTGAAAATACAGACTGGTCAATGGTTACCTTTAGTGTTGTAAACCATAAATCAAGCTGGATATAACCTTTATGGTAGATGACATCGTCTCCTCGAGTAAAAAGTTCAAGACTCATACTAGCCTAAGATATTTTTTACAAATAAAGAACTGTCAAAGTCACTATCACTTTTCACTTGTGTCATTTCTACACTAAGCGGCTTTCCTGCTATACATGCGTCGCTTGGTGCACATCACCTGTAACAAGGTATTAATTAAGCCACCAAATATAATTGATATTTCTATACATTTTTAGTACTCTATTAACCTTTATCAGAGATATCCATTAAATTAAAATTACGGTATACATGAAGAATGGCACAAGTTAGCTACAAATTTTAATGTCTAGTACACTAGAAGCCCATGGAAAAAAATACCTGTGAATTGAACGAACGTGAATAACGCTTAGAAGGCTGTTACTATATCAGAAAATAACTCTGAGCACTATGCCGTCATTTCTGAGCGGTACGGGTGAGTACGTGAGTGAATGGAATTTCTCAGGTACAAATGGGGAATTATAGTATATGTCTGGTTTAACATTCGCTTGAATGGCGAAGGAAAACATCGCGACGAAACCGGCTTGCCTTAGACCAAGAAAGTCGACGGCATGTCTCAGGCACAGGAGGCTGATCACCTACTTGCCTATTTGATCAACAAATTATCATAACAGATACAGAAATCTGAGGCCCAGACCTAAAAAGGGGTTTGCGCCACTGATATTTATTTGCAATCGCAGTGTAATCATTGAATGCCTGGATTAGATTCCCAGAACCAAAAGACATACAATATTTGTTAAATATCTTAGGGATGTGAGCGATGTGTTAAACATAGTAATTATTGTAATGGCGTGATAGAAGCATTTAGATTGGGTTCTTATAATTTTGTTACATCTCAATCACATTGAATTATAATCGAAATTGGATCACATTCACTTTTAGAGAAAATAACTAAAGGAAACTTAAGTTCATTTAACACAATCTGTGACTAAAAGATTTATAGTTTTTTTAGTTAAAAATAATTAACTATCATAGTTTGGTCAAACCATTATAAGACAGAGTAGACATTATTCCGACAATTATTTATTATTTAATAAATGTATTTTTTTTAAATAAAATTAGTCTTAATATAAAAAGTCCAAACGTGTTAATTCAAGTGGAAACTTTTGTTTAAGAAAATAAGATTAGCCATTCCCAAAACGCATGCATATATGCATAATGTATTCACCTATTATGTACCCATTATGTACCTGACGGCATGTGCTGGGAATTTCTTATTGCTGAGTAAGGCGGCGGCGCAGGCGTCGATCCAGGCTTTGCTGTATGTACGGGGTAACCTACAAAATAATTATAATGTTAGCCATCAATTTTATAATTGCATTTAGATATTTTTTTTTTCTATAGAACAGGGGTCGAACGGGCAGGAGGCCTCCTGATAATAAGTGATATCGCCACCCATGGACACTCTCAATGCCAGAGGGCTCGCGAGTGCGTTGCCGGTCTTTTAAGAATTGGTACGCTCTTTTCTTGAAGGACCCTAAGTCGAATTGGTTCGGAAATAGGCAGCTGGGCAGCTGGTTCCACTAAGTGGTGGTGCGCGGCAAAAATTTCCTTGAAAAACGCACTTTATATGAATTTTACTAATATTCATATAAAGATATGATAAACCAACTGATACACTAAGTAGCGTTGACCTACAAACTACAAACCCTCGGCTACCAAATTTATTATGGCGCTTAACTTGCTCATTACCACTTGCCTATTAGAAAAAAAACAAATGATAAACCAGAATTTCTTGGTATTAAAATGTTGGACGATGCGTCAGATGTACGCAGCTGATCACTTACTTCTCTAGATCAAAGAAACAGATAGTATAAAGTCGCTTAATACTATTTTGTTACGTGACTTAGAAAAGGATGTGTATATACGACTCCCCAGATAATTTATACTTTAATATTATAAATGCAAGTGATTCGCGGTGCAAATGTTTCTCTATAGAGAAAAGACATAATACGCCGACTAGCTCCAACGCGACTTTTAGAAATTGTTTAGTCCTGTGGAAATCGTGTTAAACGGGATTAACAATCTATAAAATTATAATTTAAGCATGCTTCTGATCTAAGTCTAGAACAACATATTAAGTATGTAAGTTTAAGATTCCTTACCAAGTGAACTATTTCTAAGGTACGGGTTGCCGTAAGTGGCGGCATACCGCAAATCTACCCCGGTTTTACCCGTCTGTGGGGGCACTGGCACTTGTGGACCTATAAATACATTATTAACATTTATATCGTGAAATAGTTCATATATGTTACGGAATTGTATATATTCTCGAAGACGCATTCTTAAACATGTGGCATGAAGACTATCAATCATTAAAAATCATGCTATTAGCATAGATATTAAATCTTTTGTCTATTACCATTGTTTAACCATCAAAAATTTATAATATTCATATGTGCTCTGTGCTAAGCCAATATTACTGAAAATCCACCTGGATTCGAGTCCAAAATGTGGTTTGAAGAAGAGTTTCCATAGACTAGTTAAAGTTACTTACGTGTCGCAATACGTCATAAAATTAACTTTAGTATAAAAGTTAATATGGAACTAATTTACCAAGAAAAAATTCTATATATGAAATTCAAAAATGGAACGGGAAAAACATACCTTCCCCGCCGACGGGCAGTCCTAAATTATTGATAGCGTCCGTTGCTTCCGGTTTAGGACGTTGCAATGAATTATTCTGCGATCCGTTGCCGTTTGACAGCGGCAACGTTGATGCCGTGTCGATGCTGCGCGTCAGCGAACCTTGTAGAGATCTGTATAAAAAGCAAGGTGTATTTTAGGTTTAAGAATAACTTTATTTCTTATAAGAATTGCATACATAATTCACTTACTGAGAAACAATATGTATAACTAAGATTAATAATTAGAGCGCACAGATGTAGGTACGTATATAGAATAACAAAACAAAACAGCTACAAAAATGTGGGCTGACATAATAAACTCGATCAGTCAACCAAGCAAAACATAGATGTTCAAATTTTATTTTTTACTAGATGTGGCATTGATGGCATAGTCAATATATTTTTAAACAATACGCAAGGGACCAAAGGGTAAATTTTAAATTAATATCGTAATTTATTATTTCTGTATTAACAATTAAATACAATATTAACAGAACTTCAAATGTAGCATGTTGGCGAGCAAGATTCGTTCACAATTTCAAATTACAGAGTGGACCAATTCATCGAGTATTTTTCAAGGAGCGGAAAAAAGTTTAAATTATCGAGAGATTCAAATTAACGAGTGTCAAATTATCGAGAGTCCACTGTATATTGTTTAGAAAAAGGTCTTTTGCATTTTAATTAGCCAAAGTTTAAAAAAAAGGATCTTTTTTGTATAGTACATTTTAAAAATCATTTTAAAAAGCGCCTAAAATTATCATAAAAATTAGAAACACAACCAAAATAATGCACACACGTCCTACCTCGTCGACGGCACATCAAGTTGTGGTGGCGATTGCACTCTCAAATGTGGAGGCGGCACATATCCTTGCGGGTAGTCGTATACGTAAGCACCTGGGTTCTGTGTAAAATGTTCTTCTTAATACTACACATTTAACAAGATCTTTTTAATTATTTACTAGATAACCCGGTGAACTTCATGTCACCACCTTTGTGTTGAAACTTAATTTTTTTTTAAGACAGACCAAAGAGATGAACCACATATCACAGCTATGAAACACAAATTTCTGAAGGTATCTATAAATATATCACAACCAAGTGACTGAAATTTTATTACTAAAAAGACAAAGTACATCTAATATTTCACAGCTAGGAACAGTTTTATTGGGAAATTCTTTTAAGAAATTGTTTATGTTTAAACCTCCTAAACTTTCACAAATATTTCAACATCATAATTAGCCAAATCGGTCCAGCCATTTTTGAGTTTTAGCGAGACAAACGCTCAACGCTTTTTATATTCAATTGAGTTCGTTGTCAATTGTCATATCAATGATTTTGAAACGACTAACGTTATTTTTTTTATTATTAATCTTCTTTGAAAGAGCAGTGTTGCCCTAGTGGCTTCAGCATGCGATTCTCATTACCAAGGTCGTAAGGTTCGATCCTCTTGCACCAATGGACTATCTTCCAATGCACATTTAACATTCGCTCGGATTGGTGAAGGAAAACATCGTTAGGAAACCGGCTTCGAACACAAAAGGTACAGGAGGCTGATCCCCTACATACCTATTAGATTGACAAATGATCATGATACAGAAACCTGAGGCCCAGACCTAAATATGTTCTTGCGCCGCTGTTTTTTTTTATTTATTCTTTTTCGAAATGATACTCACTTTAAAGTAATGGTCTCCGTAACTTTGGTCAGAGTAATCGTTGCTATAACGGAATTGCAACATCGGATCATCGTGTCGTATCGTTGGGAGTGCTACTGGTCCAGCCAGCGGCAAACCGTTGGGATTCTTTGAATCCGAACGATCTGAACTGGTGTACTCCTAGTAATTTAAAATTAAATATTATAGTCAAACTAAAACTCAAAATATCTTGATTCATAGGTAAACAAGTACACTTATGAACGTCAAAAAAAAAGTTAAAATTATTGTAAATTTACATTTACTACCAGTTCGCAAGTCAAGAGCGTAGAGCGGGCAAGAAGAACTGGCAAGAAACTTCCCACCTCTCTTTTTAATTGTTAGTCAAATATATTACCAAATTAAAACAAGTAAGTAAGTACAAGTACAGTAACAAGTAAGTACAAATAAAAAAACAGTTTCAAGTGACCATAACAATCGAAACATATGAAAACAATAAGTAATTACTGTTAAATGTATTTATTTACTAACAGTTTCTATTGGTTTAATAACGTTTTCAAGATATAGTAATAACATGAGATACAAAGCTGATAGAAAGAACGAAATGATAATATTTTCAATTAGACAGGATTTGACTATAAGGTGCTATAATCGTTAACTAAGATTTAGCATCAGTAATTATATTCTGTAATTAGTGCAGTGTTGGCCAAGTTTGGCCAAGCTTCAGCGTGCGACTCTCATCCCTGAGGTCGTAGGTTCGATCCCCAGCTGTGCAGCAATGGACTTTCTGTCTATATGCGCATCTAAAATTTGCTCGAACGATGAAGAAAAATAACGTGAGGGAACTGGCTTGCCCTAGACCCAATTAGTCGACGACGTGAATCAGGCACAGGAGGCTGATCACCTACTTGCCCTATTAGATTGACAAATCATCATGACACAGATACAGAACTAAAAAGTTTGTAGTGCCACAAATTAAGCAAGACTTTAAGTTCTATAGTGGCTTAAGATAATTAAGTAATTAAGAATTTAATAAAACACGTACCAAATCATAACTGTCCCCCTGAGGCAATTGTAATTTCAAGTCACTGATATTCGAGCTTCTATCACTTTCTTTGTTATATGGATCACCTGTCACTGTCACATCTGGTTTTTCGTTAATCTGTGTCTTCTGTCTTCTCCGCCTGTGGCAAAGTACTACGAGCACAATGAAGGCAGAGAAGAATATGATACCTGATGTCACTCCCGTTATTATTATAAATAGGGGCAATGTTTCTGAAAAAAAAATAGCTTTTAATATTTACTCTTTATAAGCATTACGTCGCTATTAAATGTGTTCAATATATTGTCTTACTTTGTAATACATTAAAAATTTAATTTTGCCCCGTTAATATATTTAAAAAAAGTTATTATATTTCTGTTTAAAAATATTATCAAACTAAAGACACTGCAAAATTTGTCTTTACTTTTCCCATTTATTACTAAATGATTTTATTCTCAAAAGTAAAAATACCATAACTAAATATTCGGCATCTTTAACAACCGTACATACACAAAAGATAAAACTTTCGGTCGCATACGTTCATCGTTCATTCGTACATCAAGTCAATACTCACTGAGTGGTTTTAGTGTTATAGCGGCATTAGCATTGCCGTATTCGTTAGTCACACTACAATTGTACATTCCGTAGTGTTTGGACTGGCTCTGTCGAATTACTAAACTCGACTTTACAACTCCGTCCGATGATTCGTCTAGTTTCGTTGCGTAGTCCTTAAATATAAGGGTATTGAAATTATTGCTACATAATTGAAGAGATCGAATATTATTACCAATTTATTAAAAGTAATAGAAGTAATATATATATATACTTCCTATTACGGGCAGTTTAAAATTTGTTCCAATTTTAATAAAAACGCACTTTAATTTGGAAGACATTTTCTAGACATTACTTTTATGAAGATGTTGACATGGAAAGTGCAATCACTTTACCAAAGAGGATGTGAGGAAATATTTTAGAAAGCGGGGGGACTTTGACTTTATTTGGTAGTAGAAAAAATTTCTTGTTTCTTTACAATATTAAATTGTAGCATGTTTAATGTTTAATTTCAATCATCTTTTTTATCTATTCGTGTACTTAGACATATCATTTATTACAAACAAAAACACACACACATAAACACGCAAAATAACAATAATAAAAGAAAAAAAAATATAATGAGATGATAAAAATTAAAAAACAAAACTTAATACTACTTGATTGATATATGTTTTCTGTTTCTTATATTTTGTTTAATAATATAATCTTTTTTCGTGTTTATAAGATGTGAATATGTAGCTGTAAGATTACTTATAAATAAATAAATAAACTAGTGTTAAAATTTGTGCAGTTTCACTGATCCAAACAGAAGACAGTTCAGACTTACGGGATCTTGTATGAAATTAATCTCTTTCCCTTCAAAGTACCATCTTATGTCATCTGGTTTGGGAACTGAGAGTGCTTCACATTCTATGGACACTGTCTCGCCCTCAGACCCTACTTGAGTCCTGTTCGATAATATCTTTGGTTGACCTGAGGACATAGAACAAATTATAACTAAGTCTATGATAATTTAAACTATTTTTGTAAGTTGTTAAAGATTAATTAAATATGCAAACCATGAACGACATTATCGTCAACTATTACTATGTTTCAAAACAATAAAGTCTTAAGTTTTTTACAGTAGGATATTTACGCATATAATATATAAATTCCGTGTCGCGAAGTTAATTAGTTAAATTCTTAATCGTCGACATATCAGAAATTTGCGCACTTTAAAAAGAAAGTGCGTAAGTAGGTTCATCCCCTAAATGTCATAAGTGAAACTTCTATGGCACCTAAATTATTTAACTCTTGTTCTTTTATACAAATCTAAAATTTACATTATCCGAGGCTTAAGAGACCGAGGGAAAAAGGAAGATATTATGTTAGGAATTTAATGAATATTTAATTGTCATTAAAATATTAAAAGTGTCGAAAATTAATACAGATAATAAATTTACTTCTTTGATAAAACACGTGGCATTTAAATTTACGGTTCGTAATTTGAGATTTCAATAAATTATTTTGCATAAAATATAAAATACTAATATTTCATAAATTCTCTTTACGAAATTTTAATTAAATATTTTATTTTAATTTAATTCGCCTCTTCACTCTCTCTTCACATCTCTCTCTTTTGAAAGCTGTACATCTTCGTGACGTATCCTTAGAAATTTTACCCTCATGCGCCTAAAGGTGCGCATTTAACGAGGAAAACAAATTGCTCGGCGACACGAATGGACCTATCTGGAGCAATTAATGGAGCTATTTCAATAAATTATTTCGGCGATATTGCTTCTAATTGCTCCAGATATTTCATATCGCTCAATGTCGCAGATACGAATTGACGAATATCCGATGGACTTGGAAATTCCTAGCAATTTTTATATATCTCATTCGCACTTGTTTGTTTTGCGGCTTGCCGTCTTGCTTCCCGGGGAGAGCGAGGGGTCTAAATAATAATAATTTCTAATTACTTTACTCAAAAGTAATTCAAAGTCTGTTCGTGATATTCTAGTTTTTTGAATAATATATATCTAATTCTTTACACAATGAAAATTGCGGCCAAAAACGATCGCACCCAGATACGCCTATTCCTTTTCTTTCTTTGTTTTTGATTAATAATAAAAAAGCGCTACAAGCCGCCGCAGCAAGAACAATGTCGTCTATTGCTAGCGAATACTGAATTTCTCGTGTAGGACAGTATTGCCTAGTTGATGAAGTTGCGCCATATCGCTCAATATTGTATTGCGCAGTATTGATGGTTTTTGCCCGTTGCCGTAAATTGCTTGATGTAGTCGTGACGTCATAGTTGACAGTATTGACTGGATTGAGCAATTTTAGTTGCCCGTATAAGCCACCTTTAAGAAGTTTCACTTCAATATGTAAACCAATTAATGTGTCTCGTAATAAGTATTAAAAGATACCTTTGATAAATATAGTAGCTTCGCTCTCAATCTCAGGGTAACCTTCTACACTGGCTTTACAGATGTAGCGTCCAGCTGTTGCCTCCTCCACAAACACCTTCAAGTTGGGAGCTTTCCCTTTAACCTGCTGGAAATATATGACCATTTAAAAATCTTCACATGAGGTTTAAAAAGATACTGCAAAAATTTAATTAAAAACAAATGGGTTTGTACACACAGTATTTGAATTGTGTGGTATTTGATGACTATAATTAATTCATATACTAATATTATCTCATGATAACTTTAAAAATCATAAATGATTTCATTTATATTCTAGTAACTTTATTGTTCTAGATTTAAAAGAGAGAAATATACATAGACTTTCAGTCAAAATGGTGACAACTTTCAGTTCTGACGATGACACATACTATCGAAATGGCAGCACTCGCTCAGTAACTGTGGCACTCGCATGTACGATCAAATACGATTATAACGATAAGTTTAATAAAAAAAAAGGGTGCGTGTACTTATGTACGCGCGTAAGAAGTTATACTTCTTTGGCATTATTAAAAATAGTTTGGCTTTGTTCCACCTCCAGTTTTTGATGTTTCACAGCGATAAGATGACAACTCTTTTTTTGTATTCAATTTAGTGCACTTACACTGATTCATCAATTGTTTTTTGTCTCTTGTCCTTATATTTGCTAGATTAACTCAGAAAAATTACATGTTTTGATTAAACAATGTGGTTAATTTTTTAATCAAAACATTACTCGATATTAATAATACATACGGATAGTTAACCTCAATTGTATTGAAGCACTTAGGAAGGTTGATGAGCACAGTTTTTTCACAAATATTAATTAGTATTGGTTTAAATATTCAATTTAAATCACTTCTGATTATAATTCAAAAAGCATTGCTAAATTTCTTTGAAAAAATAATTAAAACTCCTTTATTTGTTTAAAAAGTAAATGACAAATGTCATTATGTTCATTCAAAATTCTTGGCATACGAACTTCACGCATATTCTATTTCTTTTTACTTGTAGATTGTCTTATTCCTATCTCGCTCGCGCACGCTATAATCACACTCCTAATTTTGTGTCACAGGTGCGCGCGCATTGTAAAATTTCACTCTCATAAATTTTTCATAACGCGCCTAAAGAAGTATAACTTCAAAAATTAAGTAACGTCAGCAACCTTCACCTTCATCGCAGTAGCTCTGTAATAGCAGCATACAATCCAAATGTTAGGTTTGAAAATTAAAGTTACTATTATGCGAGTTCTGTCAGCTAACAAAAACCTGATTGCCTTGAATTGTTAAAACAGTTTTTCATAAATTATAATTGAGAATCATATAACCTTCTAACTTAAAACCGAATGACCGATTAGGATTCCTTAGATACATCAAACTTATAACACACCTATGGGTCGCGAAAAGATGTCAGTTGTTTAACAAATTGACAAATTAAGTACACAACGGGAATTCATTTTTTTTTTTTTTTTAAACCCGTTTGGCGACCACAAAAAGATCCCCCCCCACCCCAGGGGCGGGGCCCCCCCGACAAACCCACCCCCCGCGCCCCGGCCCGGGGGGGGCCAAAACCCCAAAAGAAAGAAAAAAAACACGAGGGGGGGAAAAAACAAAAAGCCCCCCCCCCCCCCGGCGAGGCGGAGACAAAACCCTTAACCCCCAAACTAAATTGTTAAAATTTTTATTGCGCGCGGGCGGGCCGCGCGAATTTAATTTTTTGTAAGAAACAAAAAAACCAGAAACCCCGGAGGGGGCCGCGGGGCCCCCCCCCCCACGAGGAAAAAGGAAGGAAAGAAAAAAAAAAAAACCCCACCCAAAGGAAGGGGGAGGGGGGGGGGGGAGGGGCGGGGGGGGGGGCGCCCCCCCCCCCCACCACCCGGGGGGGGGGGGGGGGGGGGGGGGGGGGGGGGGGAGAACCACCAACCGGGGCCGGGCGGGGCCCCCCGCAACCCCCCCCCAAACCCGCGGGGGGGGGGGGGGGGGGGGGGGGGGGGGGGGGGGGGGAGGGGCCCCACCCCCCCGGCGGGGGGGGGGGGGGGGGGGGGGGGGGGCCCAACCCCCCCCCCCCCCCCGGGGGGGGGGGGGGGGGTGGTTGGGGGGGGGGGGGGGGGGGGGGGGGGGGGGGGGGGGGGGGGGGGGGGGGGGGGGGGGGGGGGGGGGGGGGGGGGGGGCGGGGGGGGGGGGGGGGCGGCGGCCGTTGGGGGGGGTGGGGGGGGGGGGGGGGGGGGGGGGGGGGGGGGGCCCGTTTTGGGGGGGGGGTTTTGGGGGGGGGGGGGGGGGGGGGGGGGGGGGGGGGGGGGAGGGGGGGGGGGGGGGGGGGGGGGTGGGGGGGGGGGGGGCGGGAAAAAGCCCCCCGCCGGGGGGGGGGGGGGGGGGGGGGGGGGGGGGGGGGGGGGGGGGGGGGGGGGGGGGGGGGGGGGGGGGGGGGGGGGGGGGGGGGGGGGGGGGGGGGGGGGGGGGGGGGGGGGGGGGGGGGGGGGGGGGGGAAAGGGGGGGGGGGGGGGGGGGGGGGGGGGGGGGGGGGGGGGGGGGGGGGGGGGGGGGGGGGGGGGGGGGGGGGGGGGGGGGGGGGGAAGGGGGGGGGGGGGGGGGGGGGGGGGGGGGGGGGGGGGGGGGGGGGGGGGGGGGGGGGGGGGGGGGGGGGGGGGGGGGGGGGGGGGGGGGGGGGGGGGGGGGGGGGGGGGGGGGGGGGGGGGGGGGGGGGGGGGGGGGGGGGGGGGGGGGGGGGGGGGGGGGGGGGGGGGGGGGGGGGGGGGGGGGGGGGGGGGGGGGGGGGGGGGGGGGGGGGGGGGGGGGGGGGGGGGGGGGGGGGGGGGGGGGGGGGGGGGGGGGGGGGGGGGGGGGGTGTGGGGGGGGTTTGTGGGGGGGGTTTTTTTTGGGGGGGGGGGGGGGGGGGGGGGGGGGGGGGGGGGGGGGGGGGGGGGGGGGGGGGGGGGGGGGGGGGGGTTTTTTTTTTTTTTTTTTTTTTTTTTTTTTGGGGTTTTTTTTTTTTTTTTTTTTGGGTTTTTTTTTTTTTTTTTTTTTTTGGGTGGGGGGGGGGGGGGAGAGGGGGGGGGGGGGGGGGGGGGGAATTCACTAAATACGTCAGGCCTCAAAATATAAGTGCGTTCATTGGTTACGCAATACCAAGAATTTTCATATAAAAATTTACGTAAATATATTGTAGCATTAATAACTTAAGGGGCAAGGACTGAGCGATGCTAGACGCTAAAATGGTATGGTATTATCATTATTTTACTACTAGCGGTGGTGAAGCCAGAAAACTGGATAACTATATTTAGGTACATATAATACCGAAGCCATACAAGTTAAATATGCATTCTCATACCCCAATTACTACTGTTCTCCCAAAGTAATCTCAAAGCCACTGACGCAATGTAACAATGCTGTCTTGTTACTCATATTTGGACCACATTTTTATTTTCTCCTGTGTAATAAAATGTTTTATTACGGCCCAACTTGAATATTTAATTTGTACGAACTAGATCTTCGTGGCTATACGAGTTTTAAGACGGTGGCATAATTGAGGTGAAAGGGCATTTTTATTTATTGCTACGACTATTTTCATTAAAAGTTGACTCTTGAACATGGCCTTGCTTTTGTCATAAAATCTCTAGTTACTACTATTCAGGTATAAGAACAAGAAATGTACTGTAAAAATAAAATGTAAAATAAAGCATATCTGCTTAACAGTTCTGCCCAATTTTTGATAGAATAGGGGAGGGGATGAATTTCCTACCTTTCAGGGAGGAGTACTCCCTGAATCATCCCCTTTGCTTTGATTTAAAAAAAATTCCTTATATTAGCTGAATGCTTTGAATTTTACATTATTCTACTAAATGTTTATATGTAATTCATTGTAGCTACAGACAAATATAGAATGATAAGAAATTTATGTCAGAGATATTCTAAACTGGAATGAAAGTTTAGACTAACACAAAACCATTTTTCTCTTTCACGTTAAAACAATAAATATGGTATTCACTTACCCCGATGCGAGCTGGTTCATGAAATAGCCAACGGATTTCCGGTTGAGGCTGCCCATCCACGTCACAGCTCAGGGTTACACTGGAACCGATCTCCGCTTCTATGTTCCGAGGTCGGGTCCTAAATGATGGAGGATCTGTAAGAATCCAATAGTTAATCTTCTTATTTAAGTTAGTATAGGTCTAGTGGGTGGGTGGTAGTGTTTCGTCATTGGGTTTCACGCCTACACATGCCAAGTACTCAGATTATGGTGTAAATACTACTAAATACAATTCACAGAATATAATGTACTAGTGGACCCCACAGACGTTGTCCTGCATGATATTTAAAGCGATTAGGATATTAAGCAAAGTATGAAAGTACCGACTGCAGTGCCATCTGCCGGGCTGATTTGTGAATCTAAACCATTCCCAGATCCCCTTGAACACACACAAAAAATTTCATGAAAATCGGTCCAGTCGTTTGAGAGAAGTTCAGTGACATACACACTCACAGAAGAATTATATATATAAAGATTGGATGAAATTAATACAATACTGTATCAACTAGAAGCAGTATTAGAATTATTAAGGCTGATAAAATTGAAGACACTATGTTACATAGCTACACTGAACATATTTGCATATCAAAGCACTGAAATAAAACCTAACCATTTCGCCGGTCAAATACAAACTTTTTATTCAGTTCGAAATTCAAGTGAACATTTTTAAAATAGCAAACGGAAGACTTACAAGTGACATTTAAAGTCAACGAAGCCTCATTTTTCCCGACGGAATTGCTAACTTCACATTTTACAACCGCCTTATTATGCTTTCGGGACACGTTGAAAATTATCTGAAACAAATATTTTTATATTACCTTCATATTAAAGTTAAATAAATATAACAAATACATAGACTGTGCGATCAGTGGACGTTAGGTTACAAAGATCTAACATTTTATCTTTTCTAATTTCTTTTAAAAGTATTTCACGTATCTACGTAATAATTTAGTTATCTGCATCATTGTTTAATTTTTTTTCTAACCATGCGCCTATTTTTTTTAGTATAGTAGTTTTTTTATTCTAGTTAAATTTTCTACACATATATTTGTTAAATCAATGTATACAAAATATTGTAAAAAAACTATTTTAAAAGAGTAAGAATGGAGTTTCTTGTCCATTTTTAAATATGATTATATAATACAACTTGCAATTTTGACGTTCAAAAGTGCCTTTTTAATAGGCCTAATCAAAATCAATGTTTTAACTTTTGACTTTTTTCACGCAATTTTTATTGAATATTAGTACTAACAGTCTTGAAATACACACACTGACAAATTGAATGCCTTCCATTCTGTACTCTGTCCTCGCCTGTCTTAGCGCAATTGGATACCTAAGACCCATTACCGTCCAGTGTTGTTGCACCAACGGTTAAAATTGTCTTCGTTTAAAGATAAATGTTTAACTATATATTTTATTGAATACATGCAATACACGCAATTTCTTAAATTTGAAAAAAAAACTCGTAATAATTATACCATAAATAAATAAAGGGTGTCCAGCGGAATATTTTCAACTTTAGAATTTAATATAAAAAAAACTACATCGTTTTTATTTATTTTTATTTCAATTAAATGCAGAATAACAATGCGGATTTTATTTTTTAAAAACGATATCATCCAAATGATGGCCGTTTTTTTCAATGCACTCTTGCAGTCGGACCCTTACATTTGCGATTACGCGACGGCAAAGCGCTGGAGTAATGCTTTGAATTTCATGGCGAATGTTTTCCTGTAGGGCCTGAATTGTCCGGGGATTGTTGTTGTAGACCTTTGATTTGAGGTATCCCCATAAAAAAAATCGCAAGGTGTGAGGTCTGGTGACCGAGGCGGCCATGGAATTTATAAGGTTTATTTATTTCATCGTTTCTTTGTTTAGACAATTTTATTCAAGAAATACTTTCAATATTTTTTTTATTAATTTATTCTATTATCCACACTAAAACAGTAAACCGATCAACTTTATGACATTCACACAATTTATAGATAGCATAAAAATAAACTATAATATTTCCATTTGCTATAAAACAGCGGGTCTTAATATAGCCTTATTAGTGGCTAGGCGTCTGCTACGTAGGAGTCTGACGTAATCCCACAGAGAATAATTCATACATACATAACATGGTTCTATTTTCTATGGATACTTACAAGAAAAAAAAGGATTGTGTGGTTTTATGTAACCACGGTAAAAGTGAAACTTTTTTTCACATTATAGACATTTCACTTAATTTTTTTTGGAATAATATTCCATTAAAGGTATAAAAATTGCTTTATTAATCTTAATTGTATACTTGGAAAATTGGAATAATAATGGGCAATAATAAAAGTAGACTAAGTCTCTCTCGTACTCTCTAAGACTGTGTCACATACATAATACTTAACAATTATTTTTTTTAGATTATATACACATATTAAATAATAGTCTATACACTGCATGGTCAGCTGCTGCGAACTATAGGCGCCGCCATATTGGCCTTGGCTGCTATGACGAGCGTCTTTCACTTTATCCCTACTCCGCGGCCGACCGTCACGCGACATGCGACACACAGACGAAAAAGTTTGAAACGATGTAATAAAAGTTTCACTTTAAAAAAAGTTATTGTTATGTAATGCACAGAACTCTCTAGCAGTGTATATTAAGAATAATCTGTATCATAGCTGCAAACATGTATCTGCTGTCTTGACTGACTTGACTTGACAATACATAACAAAAAGTTCTATATACCCGAATAAATCTTCTTCAATTCTCATGTCACAATGTTAGTTACCATACTTTTTTATCAAATTTTATATGCATATTCAGTAGGTCTGAGAATCGGCTACTATCTATTTTTCATACTCCTAAGTGATAAGGGTTGTCCAGCCCTAACATTTTATTTTTATTTTTTGGACGAAATTTTAATTTTAAATTTTTTTATAATGTGCCGTTAAAAAATACATACAACTCCTAATTTTCACATCTCTAAGATCAACCCCCATTTTTTATTATAGTAGATAGTTATTTTTATTGAACTAAAAAATGTTTTCTAGAAATAATATAGGTAGGTACATATGGCAAAACAACGTTTGCCGGGTCAGCTAGTAATTTATATATTTTTAAAGTTAAACATTTTTTTTTGTTATTATAGAAACATGGCAAACTAGAAGAAGTTTTATCAAGCAGGAGTAAGAATTTACGTGAATTTCATTAAAATACCAGGCTTGCATAACATATGAAGTGATCTCCTGAAAAATTCACTTTAATGCAGCAAGCGAAGATTACACGGCTAATCCTCGAGCTACACATTCGTAGCAATTCCAAATTCAAATTAAAGGTGGCCTAAATGGCCAATTTCCATTTTTAACGACTTCAAAAAGTTCTGTTTGACTTTTGTTTTTATTTTTAGCCTTAATTCTCTTTTTCGATACTTTGTATTTTGAAATGGTAATAAAACGGCTCTTAAAAACTGAGGGCGGATAAAAAGCTTCTTAAAAACTCTGACTTCTCGAAAAAGAATACTAATGAGAAGATGACCTTAAGAATATCTGAAATTCCCTTGCGTCTAGGGTTTCAAAGTCAAGCTATTTTGTCGTTCTGAGGCCACATGATACATAACAGTAATACAAAATATTTTTGTTATTTATTATATGTACTGCTCAAAACAATTAGCGGAACAAGATTTTTCTCCTTTCTATTGCTTAAACTAAAATTAGATTTAAATTAACTTGTACGCTATTTTTTACCTTGTTAATTTGTTAATTACTACAATTAATAAAAAAAATCAATTTGTATTTTTTTTATTAAAAAAAATTAAAATGTGCATTGTAGACGAAAAACTAATTGGTGATAAAAAAGGTCCATCAAAGAAATATTCTTATATCGTTTGAATATTCGTCTTTAGTGACTTTCAGTAACGTGTGTGGCCTCCATGAGCCCTAATCACGGCTTGACAACGACGCGGCATGCTTCGTATGATCCTCCGAATATCTTCTTGTGGAATTCGCTCCCATTCTTCAATCAACGCTTCAGTGAGCTGCTGCAGTGTTTGAGGTGCAATCGGACGCTTCCGGATGCGCCTGTCAAGCAAGTCCCAAATGTGTTCAATTGGATTTAGGTCAGGGCTCATGGAAGGCCACTCCATTACACGGATTTCCTGCTGTCGTAAGTAATCTGACGTGATGGCTGCAGTATGCGGCCTGGCATTATCTTGCATTAAAAGAAAATCTGGGCCCATACCATATGCTGCGGGCCAAACATGATCTTCGAGCACATTTTCAATGTAAGTTTGAGCACACAAGCACCCGGGAACAACGACGAGATCTGTGCGCTCGTCCAAACTAACTCCGCCCCAAACCATCACAGAGCCACATCCAAATTTGTCATATTCCTGGATTGCTGCTGAACTGTATCGCTCGCCTGAGCGTCTGTAAACACGGAAACGACCATCGCAACGTGTTAGACGGAATCGTGATTCGTCAGTAAAAAGCACTGGCCTCCAATGTCGAAGTTGCCAATTAGCGTGATTTTGCGCGAACTGTCGGCGAGCTTGTCTATGTTGAATTGTTAGACGCACAGCCCGAACTGGTCGGCGTGATCTCAAATTGGCTTCCAACAACCTATTTCTTACCGTCTGGTCGGAAATTTCTACACCAGTAGCCGTCCTTAGTGTATTTTGTAGATCTCTTGCAGTTGTGGTGCGGTTACGTAAAGCACAGTGGACGATGTAGCGATTATTTTTTTCTCTTTCGACCTTGACCACGCCTTCGTGAGTATTCTCCCGTCTCACGGTATCGCTTCCAAAGTCTGTAGATAACAGAAGGGGCTACTCCTAGATCATTTCCTACATAACGCATAGTTCGACCCACTTCAAGCAAAGCGATAGCTCGGGAGACATGCAATTCAGTCAGATCTGGCATTATGACCTAAACTCACTCGCTTCAATGAATAACAATACTCAAAAGGCTCACTTCAATTTCTATTAATACTCAAAAGATTGAAAAAACTACTTAAAATGTGTTTTCTGTGATTAGAAAGTAATGAAAATTCAAAGACGTCACTTTGTTTTTAGGTGTTTCTAGACACACTGCCACTTTATTATAGGACTACTAACCAAAACGCCGATGCTCTTTTGTTTTTTATTTTCTTCGACAGTGCCTTAACATTATCTAGTGGCCAGTAATAATTAAAACCTTAAGTAAAAAGTTTAGTTCTACTTTAAAGTTTTGTTCCCGTAATTGTTTTGAGCAGTATAGATAATACCTTTTTTCAAATATTATTGCAAAATTAACAGCGATGGAAGAACCACTTCCAACGGTGTTCTACCGCGCGCCGAATGAATGTTTAATGTGAGAAATTATTAAGCCAAAGGTAAAAAGGCTACACAATTTGTAATACTGACGTCACGTAGGGATCATTTCTGTTAAATATTATTTTTTGTCATAATGTTAAACAGCCTCTGTGTGTGTCTGTGAACCCACTTTTAACATTCAATTTTTAACATTCAATTTTTAATACAACCAGGATTATATCCTTGGTTAAAAGTTCAACCTTCTATAGATAACATAATACGTATCAGTTTTGAGCTACATATATCCTTAATTGCTCAATTGGTAATGCAACAACACCCCATCCTTGTTTCGGTTCCCAGACACACCTTTTGTGGTTAAAAGAAACAGACTTTTAACTACCTGATCTGTTATCTTAAAATGGATCGCAGAATCTGACTATTCAAGGGGTACAAAATTGTATATATTATAGTATGAGTAACTACTAAATACGAACCCTTATGATTTTCTTATCTGACAGTTTGCATATAAGATTGTAAAAACACCACCGACAGGAAGACTTTCGAAATTGTTTCAAAGTATTTTGCATAAGAAAATATGTATAAAGGATAAGTTGAGAATCACTCAAAGTACACAATGTACACGAGTAAAAGCTGACTTACTCGCAGTTCTATTAGATTTTTGTTTTATATAACTAGGGTTAAACGGGTAGGAGGCTCATCTGATGGTAAGTGACCCATGGATACTCACATTGCCACAAGGCTCGCAACACAACTGGCGTTTTAAGAATTGATACGATGTTTTCTTGAATACGGTGTTTTTTGTTCGGTGAATTTGTCCAAAAGTAAAGTAAACAGTGTTTGATCATAGTATGTCTTTATCATAAGACAAATGAAATACTGTTACCAGTGAGATGATCAGTGGCGTAACTATACCATCTGGGGCTCGGGCAAATTCTTTTGATGGGGCCCTATCAGTTAAATCGTCACGTTGTACTCAGTTTAATTTTAATACATTTTCACGATTTTCAGAGTACTCAATTATACGTTGTATATGTCCCACTCATGGCCATAGGCCTCCTCTCTTAGGCGAGAGGGAATGGTCTGTAGTGCCCACGCTAGCCCAATGCGTATTGGAGACTTCACATTCATCCATAGAACATAGTATCTCTTGGGCAGGGGCCCTCTTGGGTCGGGGTTAAGTGTCATTTTGCCAGCCCTGCCACCCTATTGTTATGCCACTGGAGATGATGGACAGTTGCAGGTCAACGGAAATCACTTTGAAGTACAAATTAATGTAAAACGCTTCTACTCTGTCCGGGAATGTGGCAGGTATCAACGAATTTCAAATTAGGTAAAACAATTTTGTAAATTAAATATGCTTCGGAGTAACTTGGAGTTGTTTGAGGCATCACTTTGTGTGTTTTATAAATATAAAAAATGCTTACCATTTCATCAGCATAGTCCCCAATAACAGGGTTGTTGTTGATGTACCAGCGATACACCTGGGCAGCTGGGTTCGCATCAGCCAGACAACGAAATCTGGCCTCGGAACCTTCTGGAAATTTGCCATTTACAGCACCATACTTTACGCTCACGTTTATTTTTGGTGCGTATTTCACCTGGAAACAATGTTCAAGTTAATATTGAATATAATGCAGTGTTCTAAAAAAAGTTTGTATGAAGTCCCCTTATTATAGAAGATTCATTTCTACGTCTGTTTTGGCAAGTTGCTTCCTGTCGTGTTTCTTCACCGCACCATAAACTATTAACTACCCACTTAGAAAGAAAAATTCAGTGTTACCAGCCGGGATATGAACGCGCAAGCTCAAAGTCAACTAAGGGATAACACATTTTAAATGCCAAAGGTATTTTTGTTATGCTTAAAAATTGTAACAACTTTTTTTTAAATACCCTCTACTTGATTATTTGAATATTTATCCTAGTTCCCGGAATTTTAATTAATTATTGAGTATGAAGCGATATTGAAATGTTTTCGTTTGGTATTTATGGACTTTGTTTGTCCATACAACAAATATGTATTTGAATTTGCTAATTAATATTTTTTCATTAAAATGTTTAAAGTTCTACATGACATACAATGATGAAAGGAACCTATAAACTAGATTTAGTTTAGTCATATTTAATATTTAAAATTGATCCCTTCCACCTTTAAGAAAAGACAATACAACTTTTTAAAAGGCCGGCAACGCACTTGCTTGCCTTCTGGCAATATGAGTGCCCATGGGCGATAGTATCACTTAACATCAGGTGAGGTTCCTGTCCCATGTTATAAATAAAAAAGAAAAAACTCAGTTACGTACAGTTTCAAAGATCAATCTTTTCCAAAATTTTCCTATAACTTTTAATTTATAACTCGCTTAAATATATATACTATTTTAATATACTTACTTCAATGTGTATTGTGGCCATTCGGTACGCTCGGTCTGCTGTATTCTGAGCTTGGCAAGTCAATGTTTGATTGTGGTGGGCTATACTCGGTATCAACCGCAATAGTGACCTGCAATAGACGAACAGTCATTACACATAATAACTATCTATTGAGAGCGATGACAAGTAATAACAAATTAATTATTCTTTCATTGTTTATTTCCGAAAATCTATGAAATGTCATATTATTAAGCTCGTATAGGGTAGGTTGGGTAGGGTTGAAACAGAGCGAATATCTCTAAGGGCCTCATAGCCTAGCGGTCTTTTTAAGTGGCTAGGTGAGGGGTACCGGGTTCGATTCCCGGTTCGAGGGCAAGTTTTAATTTAATTTAAATTTGATCTCGGCCTTTGGGAGGGTTGTGCGGTAGGGCGAGTCCTTAAACCGTACATGGAGAGGGCACGCTCGAATTTCAAAGGCAAGCAGTGAGTATGCTACCTAAGAAAGGAGACTGTGAAGGTTTAGAACGTAGAAATACGTTCTAGGCCGAGGATGGCAATTACAAGTGGTTAGTAATTCAACATTCCTTTTTCACCTCCTTTATAAAAAAAAAGAGCGAATATCTCTAAAACCGTGCATGATAAGCTAGCAAGATTGTTTCAACTGTACCCAGTCTACCCTACATGTTTTTACCCAGAATTACGTAAGCCTTGTAGTTCTTAGTGGTAGTCTCTGTATTGTCAGAGTAAGTAATATCCATAGATATAATTAATATTTATAAGGCTATTAATGATTACACAGAAACATTGTGTAGACAAGCTAGAACCCTTTTTTATAAGACACTATCTTTAAGTGTTAAATGTTTGGTAGTTATACCTAACAGTAACAAAATACATTAAAAAAAAACAGTGGCGCTACAACCTTTTTAGGTTTGGGCCTCAGATTTCTGTATCTGTTTCACGATCATTTGTCAATCTAATAGGCAAGGAGGTGATCATCCTGTGCCTGACAAACGCCGTCAATTTTTGTCTAAGGTAAGCCGGTTTCCTCACGATGTTTTCCTCCACCGTCCGAACGAATGTTAAATGCGCACATAGAAAGAAAGTCCATTGGTGCGGGGATGGAACCTACGACCTCAGGGATGAGAGTCGCACGCTGGAGCCACTAGGCCAACACTGCTTTCACTAAAATACATACCTCGTCCTATATCTTTGTTCGTCTGGCAGCTGTTCGACCTTATTCTCGACACCGTTCCTGATCACATTCTGGTTACCATCAACCCATGTTATCTGTAAGTGTACCAAATTGTAAGCACTGTAAGTGGTTAACACTTCGTAATTTTTATAAAGAAAAGTTTGATTATTGTAAAATTAAAAATTACTGGCTTGAACAATTGAAGTTATTAATGATAATTCTGCGCCAGAATATTTTTTTGTAAAAGAATTTTAATGTGTCCCATGACAAATAGAGCAATAAAACGTAAATTGACTTGATTAGAAGTAGAAAAAGAAATCGTTAATAATACTTAATAATAAAATGTATATATTAAATTATAATAATTATATAAAATACCTCAGCAGCCGGTTTTCCACCCTCAGACACACATTCGATGTCAACTGGCTGATTCTCTGTCGCATCTATGAAAGCTCCTTGAAGTATCCTTGGTGGATCTGGTGCCACTAATACTGTGAGATGAGCGTATCTTGACCTAATTGCTGGAACACCTAAAAGTAATCGATAAATAAGAGGTGATGATGAGATTCTGATATTGGAATTATTGGAAACTTAAGTTTCTCATCGGAATCATTGAAGCCTTGATCTTTTGTTTTTCATTTTGTAAATTTATTTAGTGCTGTTGGATTTGTATAAACACTAATAGTACTACCAAAAGTTCTACTAAAGGATGAAGAGTTTGGTATTCAATCAGAACTATCTCAAAATGTGCTACACACAAAGTGTTAAACACTTTACAATTAAAGTATTTTTAGAGACTTTAAAATTAAATATAATCAGTGTTTATAAGAAATTACCATTAAGTCCCGAACTAACTTGGCACTGATAATTGCCATCGTCTTCTAATGTCAGGTCGCGAATATCCAAAGAATAGTCACCTGAAAACAAAAATTAAATACAGTTTTAAATCTGGGGACACGACAAACACAATGTATCTCACAAATAATTTTAGTTAGTTTATTGCGAATGCCAAATAAGCCTTTGCATAAACACATTAAAGATTTGTAATATTGATATGGTCAGTATAAACTGTTGTTAGATTAGCTATACTATGTGCGATGTAGCATGGTGCGGGTGACAGTTGCTTAATTTTTCTTTCAATTTGATTTTATTCGTAGAACATTCTGGCTGGGTTAAATTTAAGTTACTACAGTTATTAATGATGTAATATATTACGAATGTGGTACAGCTGAAACATTAAGTCTGAAGTCATAATTTGTAAATCGCGACAACTTCAAGAGTGAAACGAAACAAAAATCTTTCTCTCCCCCCCCCCAAAAATTTTTGAAATTTTTTTTAAAGTGTGTAAAAGGCTTACTATAAATCAACGATTATCTAGTTGATAAAAGGCCCTGGGACTAGTGCTAGACAGGCTACTTCTAACAATTTGCGATATTTGTTTTAAATAAGTGTTGTTTGATGATTCAAGAGTACCGAGAGTTTTTCCCCGCTTTTTTCCCCCCCCCCCCCCCCCCTTTTTTTTCCCTTTGGGTTGGGTTTTTTTCTTTTTTTATTTTGTTTAATTTTTTTTTTTTTTTTTTTTTTTTTTTTTTTATTTTTTTTTTTTTTATTTTTTTATTTTTGAAACGAAACGTTATTAAAACTTTACTGAAACTGTCACCCGCACCATGCTGCAGCGCATATGCTATAATTAGGTGATAACTTAAGACTGAAGGTTCCTTGAGTAGGGATTGAATAAACGGTTTTTACGGTTTTTTTATGTTACTGGTAGTTTTTTTTTTAAGTGAAACTTCTTTATACGTATGAGGGTAATTTTTTACAGATGAAACGCAATAATAATAATATTAGCGTCACGAGGATGTGCAGCGACCGATTGAGAGAGAGTGAGAAAGGGCGAACGTAGCATGAAGCAAATGGCCATGGAGCGAGAGTATGGAGCAAGCAAGTGAGAAAGATCGACAGAGAGAGACTGAGATAGAGCGAACGTAGAACGAGAGATGCCATGAAGAGAGAGGTATAGTAAGAAAGATTGAGAGATTGAGAGTAAGGGAGATCGAGAAAAAATACACGCTATTGGTTGATGTATTCGTTTAGTAGTTACATTTTAGAACTTTAGAATGCAATTCTGTCGCATAACGTCTTGTTCAGTAAACACAGATTTTTTATATATTTATATTATCATTAGCACGTACAGTGTGTAAACAGTGTGTATATACATATACAAATACATGGAGTGATCATATTCTGGTACATGATCATCTATTGGGACCTTAATAATGATTAATCTACAAAGAAGTTTCACTTTTGACATGTGTACTTTGTACGCACGCACATTTTTTTACATGTTATGGTTTTGATGGCTATAAGTTATACGTGTAAGTTTTTTAAATCTCTTGCGGTGCCCATCCAATTACCGAAGGTCGTCAATCCGAAATAAAACCGAGTACCTTAAAACTATTAGATTTCATTTAAATCTGAATAAATTTCTTCAATCAGGTAACGTAATACAACACAGATCGGTCTTCTTAATCAATGATTGATGGTTTATTGAGATCAATCGCGTCACATCAATCGATTTCAATTTTCTAATTAGTATTTTATCGACGACGTAGCTGTCCAAGTGTGAAATATTACAACACATAAATATTTGAAATCAATTTTCCATTTTAATTTAATTGATGATTTTTTTCTCTTCGTGTTTGTTATGTTTGCCTATAGATGCTTGTCACATTATATCTTGTATTTTATTTTTCTTTATGTACCAATGGATCAGTGTGCCGATCGTTGAAAAGCTTTTGTAAGTAAAATAAATAACATGGTTTATTTAACTTATTTTAACTATTACATACCTATACTTTTTTTTTAAATTAAAATCTTTACTTGTCCCCATAAGCTAAGCTAAGTCATATAATATATAAACTTGAATAAATCGGTGAGTTTCAGGTATTATAAGTTTTGTTGTATATGATATTTAAAATAATATCAGTTTTTTTATCAAGATTCAAATTTGTGTGAGATTAAATATTACCTGGCAAATGTTTTAACAATCGTTTCACGTAAGGTTATATTAAGGCAGTACATTATCAATTGGAAATAGTAATTTTTCTTTAATCGTAAATTTAAAAAATATATGAATTGTGTAAAGTCTGATAGGAAACTTCTATATTCTTCTACTAACCCAAGGGGGGTGAGTAATTTATTGCAAACTATTACTCTTAATTATTCTTTCTTTTCATATTCCCAGGGCCCATTAAATTCCGATCAACCGGTTCATACGGTTAAGGAACAGTTGTATGGCAAAACTTTTTATTATAAATAATACAGTATGAAACTGAAAACTAAAAAACTCAAAGGTCACTAACCGCGGACTTAAGCAAATCCGCGGGCAAACCCTATTTATATATTCAAAGTATTTCATTTCAAGAGCTAAAGCTCATTTCAAATAGAATATATTATTAGGTATTACGCTAGAGGTTATTGCACTATGGAGTTGCGAAAAATATTGCTTGACGCATCCCTTCAAGGCCGTTCACAGAGCAGTATTTCACATTCTGTTGCTACGGATACATAAATTATTTTTTTATATTATCCTTCAGCATGAGCCAGCCTAGTTAAGCACGCGATTCACACTTTCGAACCCCAAATATTTGTATGTTCGTTACTAATATTATGTGTATGTAGATAAGTATTTTAATTAGATCAATTTACGCATACACACATACCCCATTTGGTTTCCTTATATGTGTTTCCCTATAAATATTGTTGCCTATGCAATAATGATTGTTTATTCTCACTAGATTTTTCTCTACTATATAAGACCTTCTGTCGATCCGAAGTGGTGGAGGCCTGATGATCTGTAACACAGGTACTCTTTAGCAGGCATCAGTCTCACACAAACTAGCATTTTCCCTAAACAGAAGTAAGACAATTATTTATTTATAATAGGATAAAACTGTCACTTGTTTATGTACTAAGTTTTTGTGAGAAATGAATAAAGATTATTATTATTATTAGTATTTTAACAGTTGCCTCCCAATATGTGTATGAAAGTATTATGTACGTTGATAAAACCATTAATACATTTCTAAAGCGCAGTGACTGTCACAATTTAAACACAAGAAGTAGGTATAGACTTGCTTTTCCAGCTTTCAGACTTCATAAAACTGCTCACTCATTTATGGGGAAATATATACAGATATATAGCAAAATTCCAGATCATATAACCAAACTTCCCCTACATAAGTTTAAACTTTACATCAAGGAAACCCTAATAAAAAAAGGATATTACACAGTTCATGAATACATAGATGATAACAATGTATGTATAAGATAGTGAGATGGCGTAAATTGACATGCATAAGTGTACAAATTATACCTAGATGAATAAATTACCTTTGAAATTTCAATATGTACGGTGAAAGAACTTAGAAAACTAGAATGCCTAAGATCAACTACTACTCATGCCCCGTTAGGGGCTGATGAGAGTAATATTATTAATTGCAGTTAAATTCATTTCTTAAGACAAATTTAAAAACACACCTCAAACTGTGGACTGTACACAATAAGTACAATTTGAAATATATACCTCCATGATTTTTTCGATAAAATGTTTAGACCTTCAAAAGTTTTAATAGTTGGATTAAAGAGGGTAAATTTTATTTGAATATTTCACATGTTTAAGTTTCGTTTGACCTCTCCAGAGTGGGGTTTGCGAGTTTTTGCAAGGGTTCGGGAGCAAACAACTCTGTTTGTTTGTAATTTCCATACTTTTAGCGGGAATAGTTGTAAAAACACGGACATATTGTTGGATAGTTCCAAAACTGGAATTTAGAAGTATGTAGGTTGTAAAAAACTGGAACGAATTGAAATCTAAAAGGGATTTAGTTTACTCCTATCCTAATATTATTGAAAATAATTTATGTTCATACATATATTTTAAGCTACTAAACTTATTTAAAAATAAATTGGTGGCGCTACAACCTCTTTAAGCCTGGCCTCAGATTTCTGAATCATGTTATTTTTCAATGTAATAGGCAAGTAGGTGATCAGACGCAGCAGCAGATCAGCACACATGCCGTTGACTTTTTAAGACATGTCGGTTTCCTCACGATGTTTTCCTTCACCATTGGAGCGAATGTTAAATGCGCACATAGAAATAAAGTCCATTGGTTCACAGCCGGGGATCGAACCTACGACCTCAGGGATGAGAGTCGCATGCTGAATCCACTAGGCCAACACTGCTAACCTTACTAACCTTATTTAGTATTTAGAATATTTCATGAAAAGCTTCAATCAATCAATTATTATTTTAATCATATGCAGACAAAGACCAGTGTTGGCCTAGTGGCTGAAGCGACTTTCAACCCTGAGGTTGTTCGAATCACGGCTGTGCATATTTTACTTTCTACGCAATTAACACTTGCTGTAACGGTAAAGGCATCGCCATAACACCACTAAAGGCTAATCACCTCTGTCTTAAAAAAAGGTTAAGGCCCTAATTGCTGTGTCAGTGTCTCGGGGTGGACAACAAAATAATAACAATTAGTTATGTAAAACATTAAATTAATATAATTTTATCAGTTTTTTCTGAAATGGATACTTGGCTTGCGATAAAATATTAAGTGTAAATTTCAAAATCATGTTCTATATATACATTTTCGTCATAAAATTAATTCAAAGTGTCAAAAATTGGCTATGTTTGTATTTTTTTTCTATCAAGCGAAGTTATTTCAATCGTGTATCGATCTTTCAAAATGGATACATAAATTACTCAACTCCACCATATATTTTTTCCATTCTCCCTACTTCAAAAAATTATGACGAAAAATGGAAAGAAACAATGTACTTTTTTGGAGTTAGGCGACCATATAGGACCTAAAGGGACGGATGCAATACAAGTTACGACGCTGCATCGTTCTTATTTAATATTAACGGTATCGTGGCTAGCAGTTAAATAAAAACTACGATCTAGTATTTATTGAAAAGACTGTACTTATTAAAGTAAATAACACTAAAGTTTACTTTAAAAACAGCATTTATTAAACTTAATACATATTCTGTTTTTTTTAAATCACGTTAAGTATTTGTTGTAACCAATGAGACACAAATACTATATTGCTTATTCCTGCCTAAAAATTCAAACAAGCCGTGACGTGTCGACAGACAAAAACAGTTCGGTGGGCAGAAATTACTTCCCAAAATAAATTCGACGTAATGTAGTTACTCGTTTTTACTATGTGCTAAATTCTGTGTCTTTTGAGGTCACGAATTATAAAACAGATAACGAAATCCACTATTATTCGAATTGTAACTATTATCTAATTAGGAATCCTATATAATTAAATAATGACTATCATTTCTAATGAAGCTCCGAATTATGTAAATTAATAGCCTTAAATTATTTTGTCTATTGGCTCTCATTAAACCATAAAATATATTTGATTATTAAAAACATTTAATAACACACCCAAATTAGGTACCACTTAGTAAAATGTATTGAATTTTTTTTATTTGTTTGTTTCCTTTGTCAATTTTTGAACCTTTTTGTAGTTAAATGTTTATCATCTCTGGTTATATTTTCAGTGTAACTGTTTGTTATTATATATAATTTATCTTCCATGCCTTTTTTATTTGAGAATCGAATTTCTATGCGGATTCATTTAATATATTTGAAGGTCTATTATTTGAAAAACAGATTTCACCGAATCAAAACCACCACACGATGGACACAGCAAATATGACATGTATGTATTGTGTTAGCCAACGAATTACGTAGGTTACCAGACCTTTGTATTGTCTATTGACTGGCCTGAAAATAAATTCTACTATTTGCTAGCGCCTATAATTAGTTATGTTTCATTATATAAATATTCTTTAGCTTGATTTTTGCTAATTAATTTTCTAGATTGTAAATGTGTGTATTTTAATAGATTTGAATCTTGTTGATTTAGGGTCACCTGTTAAGAGAAGATTATGTTTGAAGTATGTAAATTAATAAAAAAAATACATTTGAACCAATTCTAACAAACTAGCTGCTGCGGTCTCTGGCAGAATGAACTGCGCTGTGGAACATTCTGCTTGTCAGCATAATGCTGAGCCAGGGCAAATTACAACCACAGCACACACGCATTACACACATGAAACGAACCGAAAGGGAAAAGGGAAAAACTATTTTTGATATCTCTCTTTATATTTTTTTCTTTGATTATTGTTATGTGTGTGTGTTTTTGTTAGCAATTAATATTATGTCTATGTATCTGTCTATGTATATATGAAAAACAGAATTCACCGAAATAAAGCGTAGTATCCCTTTACACAATGGAAACCACAAACATTGCATTGACATATTAAATTACCTTCTTCATCACTCCCAATCATGGAGTATCGTTCATAGCCGCTCAAATTCCTATGGGTTCCGAGACCAAAGTCATCTTTGGTCCATTGCAGGGTCCCAGCCTTATGTTCAACTCGACATGGTAGCGTTACTCGGGAGCCAACGATTGCGCTCTGAAAAAAAGAGATTTGATTAAACTAAAACTGTTTTAGCCATTTATCAACTTATTGCGATTCTTAAAGGCTACAAAACGTCACCTGGTTAAAACCGTAACATCTTCATACATTACACATTAATGCAGTAGCCAGTAGTCGTATATTTTTCAATTGTACCGAATATGATAATATTATATAGTCAAAAATACATTACTTTCCATTGTATTCATTAATAAATAGTTTTATTTCCCTTTGTCCGCAAAAAATATATGTTTAGGTGTAATCTTTTAAAGTGTACATATTATCGCAGTGATTTTTATTTATTTAATCTTTATATATATAATTATTCTGTGAGTGTATGTCACTGAACTTCTCTCAAACGACTGGACCGATTTTGATGAAATTTTTTGTGTGTGTTCAATCTGGGAATGGTTTAGATTCACAAATCAGCCCGGCAGATGGCACTGCAGTCGGTACTTTCATACTTTGCTTAATATCCTAATCGCTTTAAATATCATGCAGGACAACGTCTGTGGGGTCCACTAGTATTATATAAAAAGTCAATTTGCATGGCTAGGGCTAGGGTGCATTCTAAAGCTATTCATAATAACTCATAAATCTGTTAAAATTTACAGTTTTAACTAAATTAAGAATTAGTGTAATACATGAGGAATTACACTGTGTATTCATAACAACGAAAACACAGTAGTATACTAAAGTACTCTATTGACATAAGTAGACAACAGAGTACTTTAATTAAAGGCAATTCAACTGTTTTGACTAAGAATTTAAAATAACTCTATATAAAAAAATAACTCTCACTTATGATATCTATTCGAAAACCGTTTGTAGATATCATACCATCTAAAAATCTATAGATCTTACATTTACCATAACATATATTTTCTCAAAATAGCTTTATGTGCGTTTCATATAAAAGTACCAAGTACTGAAACAAGTTATTTTATTATCGTACCGTCCCAATTAACACATGAAATGCTTTGTAAGAACTTGATTTCTTACACTAAATTATATGTCACGTCACAGTAATATTACCAATCAGAGTGTCACGATTGTCATTTAGGTCGTTGATCTGTATGTATCAGACATTACAAAATAAATTATTAGTGGTGCTACAACCTTTTTTACAACCGAACACTGCTCGTATCAGACATGACGTATGATATGATACGGCTTCAAAGTAAATAACTACTAAAGACCACATTAAAATGTCTATTATATACAAGTCCAGTCCCAAATTTGTCAATGCATCTGTGTATATATATATACTAGCCGTGTCGCGCCCGCTTTGCTGGACGAATTAAAATAAATTTTATGTTTCATTATTTTATTTTTTTTCATATTTTTATTATTCTTCTTTTTAACTTCCCGCTAAGAAAATTGAAATATTTCGAAAATCGAGTTTTTAACAGATGTTGACGTTTAGAGGTTCTAGGAAGCCTCCCCGAATGTTTCCGCGGTGAAGTCCGTATGGATAAATTTTCATAAAAGTAAAACAGCAATAAAAAAGGAACGTTGGAATTTAATAAATAAATAGCCATAAACCATCTAGGAAAAATTTCGCATCGAATGGTGGTAGTTTCATGTCGATATGATCAGTGGTTTAGGCGTGAAGGAGCCTCAAACGAAGACCATTTTTCTTTTATATATATAAGATATATTTTTTTAAGGACAATTCACACCAATTGACCTAGTCCCATGCTAAGCTGGTGAAGCTTGTGTTATGGGTACTAGGCAACGGATATATATACATATTATAGATAGATAGACATATAAATACATATTTAAACACCCAAGACCTAAGCACAACACCAAATGCTTATCAGTTATCACATCGATGTTCGTCTGGGATCGAACCCGGGACCCATGGATTCGCAGTCAGGGGTACTAACCACTAGACCAATAAGTCGTCAAATTCAATTGTTTTCGTTCTGTTAAGCCAAGGCATTTTTTAACAAAAATTTAACTTTATATGAATTAATTTTACTCGATTAATATTAGGTAACTTCTCTCTAATAATGTAAACTGACTGTTTTTAACTAGAAATCATCTTCCTATTATTTAACTGCTGATGCTATTAAAATAACTTATTCAGCGTTACACTTGACCTTTTAGGGATTTAACAGTTCGAACGTCGCTTACGTTACAATTGTTTTGTTAATTTAAGAACATCGGGGGATGTTCAAATTTCTCGATTAGTGATTTCATCTTCCAATTGACGATTAGTAAATAGCGCAAGATCGTCGAATGTATCGTTCTCTTTTCACTGCTTCTTTTTACTGCGCCAACAGAATAAGAATAGTCAAGTATAAAGAAATTTACGAAATTCATTCATGATTGAAAAAAGGTAACAGCAGCGGCCTGTATAGTAACACATTTGCTATACCAAATGATTTTTGATTATTTATTTATTAATTAACACTTCGTTGCATGTACAGAAATATAATACAATTGACATATTTACATGGAAAACGAGCGATCCCTTCCAGACAACCACGGTGAGAAAAATAAATAAATAGGGTAAGCAAGAAGTGCAAAGCTACATAAGACCTAAAGTTATTTAGACAAAACTAATGGAACAAAACAAAGCAATTAAAATTATGTAATCAACACATCAGTTAGTACGAAAGTTGATGTGATAAGTTGTGGACAAGTTATGTTTGTACAGTAGAGATTTAAAACAAAGATAGAGAAGGAGCTGAGCGAATAGGGACGGGAAGTGAATTCCATAACCATACTGCAGAGACCTTAAAGGATTCGCCAAGAAAGGAAGAGTTATGAGATGGGATTTCAAGGATACAGTTTTACGAAAGAGCGTAAGCTATAGCTACGGGCTCCCAAAAATTTGAAATCGTTTTTGAGATAGGAAGGAGTTTTTGAACAGGATGGAATATAAGATATTATATTTTAGATATACTTGTATACTTATAGCTACAGCCAATAAATGTCTTAAATGTTTCAAGAACAGGAAGACCCTAAAATAGTCGTCCTAATATTTTCTATGTATCTTTGATCTGAACATCTGTCTCCTAATCATGTAATGAAATCGATGTAACCTTTATGAACCTTATTAGTTCTACGAATAGATTTAGATCTCAGTTTTTATGGATATAGCTTCGTGTTTTATGTCAAAACCTGTTAATTATAATAGGCGATAAGACCAGTAAACAAAACGACATAGGTATGTTAATTATTAGAATTGTAATTATTATTCGACGTTAAGTATGGCACAAGTTACGGATGTCAAGATTATAACAAATATTTGTGATTTGCAAAGTGAACACATATTTAGTTATTTAAAATAGACGGTTAAAGTCACAGCCGTCTAGATTAATTAACTCATATATTATTAAATGTATTTATATTTAATAATATATGAAAGTCACGTACGACGTACGTACGGTTTTTTCTTCTCGCATACAATAAGTAGAATTATGTGATAACTAATCTCTATGTCTAAACTGTTTGGTCCTCAATCTATAAGAAATGTATTGAAGCAATATAGTGGCTACATAGATTCCTGCAAGTACTTTGGTATTGAATCGCTAGAATGTAGACGTAAACAATACGATCTGTAATCTATAGAAGCTATTTACAACTGTTTAATTGACTGTCCTGACTTATTGTCGCTTTTACTATTTCACACCCCTTCTTCATACAAAACAAGGCAAACCCAACTATATCAAAGTCCTCGGTCTAATACAAACTATTTACGTAACTCAGTCATGTATCGTATACGTTCAGATTATAACACAAATTACCAGCAAATAGATATATTTAATGTAACAAAACATGCTTTAAAATAATTTTAAAAAACTCTGGTATCCTTAACTGGATATAATGGCTATGTTATTCCTCTTTTATATTAAATATATTATATTTATTATATATGTATATACTTTAAATAAACTAATAATTATACAACTTTCTTACCACCACAGCGTACAAGAAAAGAGCATTTCAATTCTTAAAAGGCCGGCAACATACTCGCGAGCCCTCTGGCATTGATAGTGTCCAAGGGCAATATCACTTAACATCAGATGAGCCTCCGTTTCGAAAGAAACTTTCAAACGTACCTATATATCTTGTTCTTTATATCTTACCTTTATTCTTATGCAGACAAAACAAAACCACAATCATAAACGCTAACAGTTTGTCACTTTGTCATAAATAAAGTTACCGGTATTAGAAATTCCATATTGATCAAAATCCATCAAGCTTTTCGCTAATCTCATACATATTAAAATCGATGCAATCTTTCTAATTAATATTTATATACTTTCACGAGTTGTTTTAGTAGTTTTTTTATAGAGTCCATTATTTATTTAATGTTTACGCAGAAGTGATAGGTGCCAGGTTATCTATTAATAATTTCTGAATATTAAAAAGTATTAATTGAATTAAGGAACATGCAATTATGCAAAACTAGAAGAACTGTTAACATTATCAAACAGGACTTAGCTGGACTCTCTCTTTGTGTGGGTCAGATTCAGAGTGAGAGAGAGAGAGACCTACCTATGACTACCGTACTTAAAATCTTATTCTTAAATAGTGGACGCGTGTTCACGAAACACTTTAAGTGAAATTCTCAACTTTTGGCAACGGGGAAACAGGCAGGACGCTTACCTGATGTTAAGTATTATGCCCAAGGTTACTCTCAATGCCAGAGTGCTGGCGAATGCGTTGCCGGCTAATGTAACAGACGCAAATATGTCTCATATATATGTCACCGTAATATATTATATTGTAATCAATCTCGCGAGATTGTGAACTGTCGAAAGATTGTGAACTCAACGTACTGCTTACAATTTAACGTATTATTATTCGGTAGATTGTAATCTATCGAAGTGAAACCGTCAAATCGTGAAACGGATCGCACCTCGCGCGCTGATTGGTTGAACGGAATATGCCCCGTGCCACCATATTTGTTTGTTAGTTCGTTTGTTGTCGAATGTAAATTGATTGTTTTGATGAATGTAAATTGATGTCGTGTTGAAAGTAACTCACAGCTTTAGGAATTAGTTATATGAAATTGTTGGGAAGTAAAATTAATCTGTGATTGACCAAAGAAGTTTGAATGATAACTAAGTTAGTGTTGGAAATGAAATGAAAGAAAATTTCATTACTTTTTCAATTTTAATTTATGTTTGAGGAGAAAATATTGTTACGTTTCTGATTTTTTATTTTATTGATTACCTACTAAGTAATGAATAAATACTTGATGTCACAATAATTCTTGAAGTGCATCCCGTTTATTTGACTGATACCCGTGTTTCATTCCTAACTCTATGGACATAGAACGGTCTACTATAAAGCCGACCAATCAGGGACAGCCTTCGGACAGTTAACAATTTGACAATTTTAAGATTGTAATTTTACGATTTCACTTCGATAGATTACAATCTACCGAATAATAATACGTTAAATTGTAAGCAGTACGTTGAGGTTCACAATCTTTCGACAGTTTACAATGTCGCGAGATAGATTACAATCTAACGGTGATTACAATTTTACGGTGACATATACATAAAATACATCATAATCGGACGTCAAGGCAAAATACAAAATACCATCCGTATAATCTCGACGTCCGTCGTTCCACAACTGAGCGTTTCTTAAGGCAATTTTTGCCGATCGCTACCACTATTTGGAACCAGCTGCCCACTGAAGTATTTCCGAATCAATTCGACTTAGGGTCCTTCAAGAAAAGAGCTGGACAATAAAAAAAAACTACATAAAAATTGCCAAATGGAAACTACGGCTATTAAATAAACGTAAAAAATTTATCGTAGAACCGTTATTTACTTATGAATATTCATTAACGCGGTCTATTTCGTGTAATTTATTCAAATTTAATATATCAATCTGATTTTAATACGCCCGTACTATGATTTATTGTTACGATGTATGAAAGTAATTACATTATTTGCATAAATTGATCGAACGTGTTACGTGGAGGAGAAAACGGGTTCCGCACAAGGTCTCAAAACTTGATGGGGCATGGGGCACACCGGACAAGGCTACGCTGTTACCGTGTCCTGCTACGGGCAAGTGGCGCCGTGGCGTTCTAGTGGGTATGCTCAGTCCCGCATCACCCACCGGAAGCCAGTCGCGCCGTCGACCAATAAAAGCTTGTTGAAAAATGTTAACAATTGATTGACCAGGAAACCTTCTAGGTTGTTTCTTCGTATATATTAATGTATGTACCATGTTTCTTCGTATACAAAAAAAACTATGCCCTTCAAAATTAATAATAAATTGTCCAATGATAAAACTTCTATGAGCGGATTACTTATGGTGAACGAAGAAGTCTGACTCAAATTAAATATAACGAATTCATTTTTTTATAGAACAGGGTCTTGCGAGTGAGTTGCTGGCCTTTCAAAATTTATTCATTTAAGTATCAATCAACGTCAATTTAAAAAAAATAAAGTCTAAACTAGATATTTTTAAACCGACCAAAGTAAGCTAACATTTGCCAAAGCTCCCTGGAGGTCAATGCCCTCCTGGGTCCTAATATCTTATGAACATAAGTTAATACCGTAATAAAACTTAATTTTATAACTGTTTTAGGGTCGTTATTTATTTATCAGCGGACGTGTTATTTTATGGGTTTCATATAAAGCTCGTGGAAGCTTTATAGAGCGTTTCTTGATGATGTGTTTGTGATGAGAAAACGTTTTCTAATATAGTTTGATATATCACATAATAGTTCTGTATCACATTCGCGTCTGAAGCACGATAGTCATAGGATTATTTCCCAGTGAAACAAAATTTAGAAAGATAGAGGATTGCTTCAGTTTTGTCTCTGAGATACAGACGTACCTCGTTGGTAAAAATATATTCATGAAACAGGTGTATGTGTGTCATAAGTCAAATAGGGATTCAAACGGCTCATTGGTCTAGTGGTTAGTACCCCTGACTGCGAATCCATGGGTCCCGGGTTCGATCCCCGGCTGAGACAAACATCGTTGAGATGAGCATTTGGTGTTGTGCTTAGGTCTTGGGTGTTCAAATATGTATTTATATGTCTATCTATCTATAATATGTATGTATATCCGTTGCCTAGCCATAACACAAGCTTCACCAGTTTAGCATGGGACTAGGTCAATTGGTGTGAATTGTCCAATAAAAAAAAAATAAAAAAAGATAAATAGCATAAAATGAAGACATTAATGCCAAATTGTTTTCTGCATAATATAAATACATTTTATTACATGCTTTAAAAAGTCCCGGATGAAATATTCCCAACCCACACGAACTAAATTAAGGAAAACATTTTCCGAAAATAAAGCTAAAGTAATAATATACCATTAAACCTCTCATTCCAATAACATAGAACTTTTATTTTATTGATATGATTTTCCTATGAAGCAATTCTTCATTCTGCACAAAGGAAATGACGAGAAAAATAGATTACCTGATCTTGTGGCTCCATCGCGAACCTCTGTTCCTCGTAACCATGGCAACCGGTAACAAAGATCACTAACAGGAACCAAACATCCGTCCCCCATTTCCGTTTTGCGATGGATGTTCTATTTTTGAGTTTCGAATCATCCCGCGCGCGCTTTTCTCGTAACTCACATTCGATTAGCGCCATTTTGTTTTACTTCGGCGCATTGTGGTCCAGAATTTGAGACATTTGAACACTCTTATCATCTAGTTAATGACATTATCTGGAAAAAAGAAAGATAAATTAGTACGTGTTAGTTTAGGCGGATGTATGACACGTGTCTCTGGCGCCATTGCATACATTTTTAAGCTTTGTACTAAAAATAAACAACTCCCATAGACGCTTTCTTCGGTTGACAAATTAAAACTTTCTAAGTGAATGTAATCTTTTGAGATAATAAAGTATCTTTAACCCAAATTTAAATTTAAAATTATATTTTCATATTTATGTGCTAGATTCAACAATTTAAAATTATTATGAGGGTTGATAAATTATCAATAACGTAGATATATCGTAGAATTCTTTAATATTTTTTTTATAATCCACATATTTTTATTGTTTTGGTTGGTCGTCTATATTAAAATTAAGATTTCATTGATTTTTTTGTATTAATTATGTTTTATATTACTATAAGTTTCGCATATTATTCTTAATATTATCTTTTAATTCAAATAAATGAAAGCATAAATAAATAAATAATGTTAATAAGCATTATAAAATAAAGATCTTGAGTTATCCTTCACGTGTAATCACTGAGGCGTAAAATAACCTTTCGTATTGTTAATTTGAATGATATTAAATATATAATAAGATGTACTCCTACAGCCAACATAAATTTTATATAACAAAACACAATTATACAAAAACAATCAAATATACAGTTTTTACAATTTTGTTAACCTACTTAGTAATAATAAAAATAATTGAAAATTAATAACAACACTAGTTACGACTTATCGAAAGAAGTTAATCCTTATTACTTATTACTCTGCTTCAAAAAAAACTCTTAAACATTAAAATTCTTTCATGAATAACAAAAACTAAGTGCAATAAAACCAAGTACAAATGTGCGTCCGGTTTAAAATATAGATTTAATTTCTTTTAATCTATTTTAGTATGATTATCCGTTGTGTGTCGCACATGCTTAGCCATGTGGCGACAGACTTTATCAATGAAACACAGCAATAATGTTGCTAGATATGATGAGTCAAATTTCTGTTACTAATGGATAATATAACTTTGTCCAGGAATTCATGGTACATTGAACTGATGTTATTGGTGATTATTCCTTTTGTTTCGTTTAAATAATTATATGTCCTATGTGGCATTTCACTATTTGCGCTCACCTTATCTTATTTAGTTTTTTTAGTGGTGGCCTGGAAGAAATCACTGGAAAGCGATAAGGCCGCCAGTTGCTCTCCTTTTTTATTTAATTTTTTTATTTACGAAACTTTGTTATATTATAATATTAACAAAAAATATATTATAACAGGGTCAAACTGGCAAGAGGCTCACCAGCTGATGTTAAGTAATACCGTCGCTCATTGAGACTCACACAGCCAGATGGCTCGCAAGTACGTTGCCTCTTATACGCTCTTTTCCTCAAGGACCCTAAGTCGAATTGGTTCGTAAATACTTCCGTGGGTAGCTGGTTTCACATAGTGGTGGTGCGCGGCAAATACTGCCTTAAAAACGCTCATTTGTGGAACGATAAATGAACGAAAATTATAGTTTTATAAATATCGACAACTAATGTCAAGGAAGAGTCGAGACTTGCCCGAACTATGACTTCTGTATCTCTGAAGTCCAATATGTTTTGGACATACCGGAGTTATTCTTATAAATTAATTTTATATTAAGTTATATACTAAATGATAATTGAAGTAAAACTTCTTTATCGAGGTTGGAAAAAAATTTAGTGTAACATTTTTTCGTTACGCGTCACATTTTTCGGTTACGCGCCATGTTGCTTTTTGAAGTCAAACTTCTTTATCGGCGTTGGAATGAAACTTCTTTATCGACGTATGGGAGAAATTTTGTAGCAAATTGTCACGTTTTTCAATGATAGTAATAATTATATTACAATTAATGAAATTCTATAATAAACTTCGTAGTAATAAGGTAAAATGAAATATTTGTATTCATGTCTATGATAATAAAAGCCTTTTGTTAAACTTTATCTAATTTAACGAATTTCTGTAAAGTTGCATATAGTAGATCATTTTTCGAAAAATAAGATCATAAAGAAGTTTCACTTCTTACGTGTGGTGTACACGCACAATTTATTTTTTTAAGTGACCTTTTTAACGCAAATATTTATTAAATTATTTACAGAGTTATGTACGTCTTATGTGTGTTCAGTGCTTTTCAGTCTGTAATACTACCACATTGTTATCGCCATCAAAAAGGTTTTATTTACACGCAATAGTCACTTCTAGATATCTATAGAAGTCATAGACCACCATGTGGCCGCAACAAATATTATTTTAACGCCTCCTTTTTATAATTGTACGCACTTTAGTTAATTAACGTCTGTGGCCAAGATGCGCTCACTTTCCCATGATTTTTTGGTTTGTTTATAGTTTATTAAATTAACTTTATGGTAGGATAATTATTTTTAACTTACCTCCTCTAAGTTTTAGAGAAGTTAATATTGACTAATTACAAGCCTTTTTCTTTTGTATCAGATTAGGTCATTATATTTATGTATTGGTTTTAAGTGCTCGGACTGTTCTGTGTACTAATTCCAAATAACTGTCTCGCTTTGACTCCTACGGGGTTATACTAATTCAACCACTATGCCACGGAAGTCTAAAATAGAAATAACAAGTTTGTCGCTAACACTATTCGTTATATCTGAGAAAAACAAAAGAGGCTCGCGAAGCAAAGGTTTCCCAATGCAAGCTTTTATATTGGTTAAAAAAGGGTGCGTGTACTTATGTACGCGCGTAAGAAGTTATACTTCTTTGGCATTATTAAAAATATTTTTTGATTGCATGCAAATAATTAATTACAATTAAATTATCAAAGACTGGAAAAGGAGTCATTATAGTCAATAAAGTTCAGTTTACATTTGAAAAATTAAATAAATAAATATTTATTATTATTCTCTTCCATTAAGTGTAACATAAATTCTATTATTATTCGAATATTGTTTTTAAATTATGTCCAATGCCGTAGCATCTTCCGTGGGCAACTTCATTCTGTTAATTTTGAGTCACGGTGCGCGCGCATCGTAAAATTTCACTCTCATAAATTTTTCATAACGCGCCTAAAGAAGTATAACTTCATTAATAAGTACATAGCCTATAGGTTACGTTGTCGTTTAATTGAGGTCGATCTTCAAACAAAAAAGATTAAAAAATTTTCAATACTTTAATGAGTTCTCATTTACCGAAAAGGTTTTATATATAAAAATATTTTAATGTAAAACCTCTTTTAAATATACCAAGATCAATTACCAACAAAATGATTAACTACGATGGAAACAAGTTTTTAAAGAATTATTGAAATCAATGCCGATATAATGATTTTTCTATCCAATTATTAATTAGGTATAATTTGTGTGTGCTAAATTAATTGCTATATTATTATTGGTTTTTAATGTAAATTACACGTGATTTGTTTAATTTTATTCAATACACCCCCGTATTTTGTTTTAATCTTTTAATCGTCTGAGGTTAGAGGCACTGTGAACAGCAATAACTTTCTATCTATCGTTGTTTTTTTTAAATGCAAAACTTGCCCGATGCTACGACTAATGGTTTATATTTATAGATTATTGAAACCAGCCGTAAATACGCAATACTTGCTCATACGGTAAATCAAAATAAATTGTGAGAAAAACAAACGTCCAAAAAATCACTTTTTTTTTAAATGTAATAGTAGGCAAACGGGCAGGAGGCTCATCTGATGTTAAGTGATACCTTCGTCCATGGATACTCACACTGCCAGAAGGCTCCCAAGTGCGTTGCCGGCCTTTCAAGAATTGGTACGCTCTTTTCTTGAAATATAAGAGATGACCACAAGAGTAGAAAGAAGAATCCGAACCTCCAAATCTTTATTACATAATTTGCATCATGCCAAAATGTGAGGTTCCAAAAACACAGACACAGCGCAAGCCTAGAACAACTCTCACACACTCTCAAATACAAAGTGAATTACGCACACCCATTCTCATACATTCACCCATACTTAAGGACTTATACGACTTTTGTTTGATTAGATGTAACACTAAGACTACTTTGCTTAAAAATATTTGTTCAACCATGCACCAATGCACCATGAACCACTGAATAATTGTAATCTAGTTGTGTAACACAGGGTCTCCCTGGTATGGGGACTAGGGTTAGATCAATTTTGCCACAACCCTATTTCTGTCGTGAATAAAGTTTTATTATTATTTATATATACGTACAAATGGCTGTTTTATCACGAGTATTATAATATATATGTTATAATCGATAGAACTAGACAACCATCTACACATCATTAAACTAAGCAATACTCCAGAAATTTGTTCAAAGACTGCGTAAAATATATTTTTACGATGTTTTTATTGAAGGTATATTATTTTTAATGACATCATTATAATAACGAGTATCGCAAGCGTTAAAATATTTTTGCAAATTATGGAATGTATCTATAAAAGAATATTATTCTACTTGTTATGGTATTTCAAACTCAGTTACACTCAGCCATAGTCTAAATACTTCTTGCTGCAATCATCACCAGCGTGTGTTCACACTCTTTACTCTTTGACTCTCGGAATGGCAACGCGACTGACTTTTTTACATACTCTGCCCATTTCCCTGTCCAACAGAGCCAAATGTAAACAAGTGCTAATTAAAAGAGAGTTATTTTAATGAATTGTCGCATGTTTCGTATAGGCTGTACCTAGATAGTTCTTAATCTAGTTAGAATGTTAAAAAAAAGTTATGCAGAACATTAAACAATGGGAAGTTCCGTATTTGGCCCACGTGTTGCGTGAGCGCTCCTTCAATTATTTATAATGGGTAAAATCCATTTTTCGTACTGGTAGAACGAAAAAATCATGACTTGTAACGTTAGAGAGTGGAGTCAGTGGACGGGTATTGCGACTCCTGAAGAGTTGCTGCATCTGGCACAGAACAAGACACGCTTAACTA